CTATCTTTGCCACAGACTAAAAGTGGATTAATCAACAATGTACAAAATCTTAATAAACATAAATCTTTGTATGCCTTCAAAAATTAAATCTTAAATATTTTCTGATTATCTTTCACTCCTATCAAAAGATAGTCTCTTAGAAAAAATTTTAACAGCCTAGCTTAACTGTAAATAATTCTTGTCAACACCAAAGAGCTCAAGAGCAAACAATCAAAATGCAAAGAGCAATTATAAAATGCAACTGTCCAGTTGGGTTAATTCACTTCTTATAGTTGAGAATTTTCTGGCCCTGATAACTAACACAAATGTGATGCTGTTCCCTGGGACAATGTAAAGTCTCTGTAAAGGAAATATAAACTCTTTTCCTTCACCTTAATTCCCAAGAGATCACTGCAGGTTAGCTATTACAAAGAACTAGAGAATAGCACATTTCCTTTCACATAAGCCTGCATTCAATCAAATGCAACAACTATCTACTCGTTAACACTACTTTTGTTTACCTAAATATTAATTTGATATTTAATTATTCTTACTACCTGTACACCACTATATGCATGCAACAAGTCTTTATTTACTTATTACTACTGTAAAGCAATATTGGGCATTTTCTGGGCACTTAAATCTCTAAGGCCTTATGCAGGCAAAAGAGTTAATAAAAGACCATATGTTTAAAAAATGTCAATTTAAATAATGCAGGCAGTAAATGCCACTGATTTTCACCATTGTAGGAAAAAATTAACAAACATGAGAATAGTCATAAAAAAAGTCTATTCCATTAAAAGAAAAGAGTGTTTCCTTGCTCGTACAAGGCAAAATCCAGTGGTTCAGTGCCTGTTATATTTACCTCATTCTAACTAACTGAACATGCGACCTTAAGAAAAGAAATTCTTAGTTTGTCTTCTGATCCATAAAAATACCAACCTACCTCAAAAAGCAGTTGACAGGAAAAAAATGAAAGTGAGTAGCATATATATTTACAAATCTCTAGGGAAATGTTTATGACAGTGTTAAAGGACAACTTCAGAGGATACCTTTCCAGAAGTATCCTTGGCAAATGCAAATATCAATCCTAACTAGGCAAGGTAAGATTCAACCAAGAGCCACTATCTTTTAAAGAGAAAAACAATAAAACAAAATAATAAGCACTTAGGATGTCTCTATCCAATTAGTATAAAAACATTTCACAAATATCAATTAAGGCTATAACTGCCATGGCAAGTTTAAAGATTATACCCATAGCAGAAGCTAAACCAAGGTTCCATTGAAATGACTAGCCCAAAGTGTCACACCAAAGCAGCAACAAGGCCAAAAAAATGCAAAAAGCCTTCACTGCAGTTAACTATTGGGTTTATATAATACACTATCTTTCTTCATGAAGAAATGTTTGTCCTTCAGTAACTAGGATTTACTCTACAACTAAGCATCTTCAAAAGAGTAGATTTTTTCATTTCATAACTTGTATACCATGAATTCTATTCTAAATAGAGCAACTTTTTAAGTAAAAAAACTATTATAGCTGCATTGTAGATGACAGAACAGTGGCAAAGAATTTCCACTTCAAACTTAACTCTCTTTTTTCAATGTACATGAAACAAGTTGCCTGTCATTATGAAATATTTCACAAAAGAGACTTAGAGGCAAGTAAAATAATCTTTTAAAAGCACTGCAGACATGGCCAGCTCAGTTTAAAATCAAGTTTCAAGTCCTTTTGGCAAAACTGTGCATGATTCACTGCTTTAGAACTCAATGGGAAGAATTGGAAAATTCAGTTTGATTGCCTTAATATTTTGTTTGGGGTTTGTTTTTTAAAGACATCTCCATCCCAATGTTGATAACTTCCATAGTTTCCATGGCTTATTTATTAAAATAAGCTGTGAATAATATGAACCACATATAAACAAAAAGTAGTCATATATATTATATTCTTGCACTATTATTTTTATATGTACATAATTTAGTACATAGGGATCATTTACATTGAAAAACGTATAGACTATGAAACATGGATGTTCTAGCTAGAAAACCAAAAATTATGATACTGACTTTTCCGTTCCAGAAACATATTCAAGTCTCTTGTGTACTAGAGTTACTTTATCTGGAAAAAGAACCAAGTAATTCTACTAAAAAATAAAATGTATCCCAATCTCATTAAAAGTTTTATGAATATAGGATTATGAATAATTTTAAAAAATCGATCTCTAAATTAAGCAAAAGATTCTGCCACGAGTATCAGAAACATACACAGATACACATTTGGAACTGAAGCTCTCAATTAAGTCAAAATATTTTAAGTTCCCAATCAACTAATAATCTACTGAAAAAAAAATCACTACTCTTAGTGTACTTCTATAACTACAAATACTAGGGATGGGAATATGTCAGACATATAACAGTGATTTGCCATTCCTAACCTTACTCATTCCTTACTATATGAACCCTGCTTTCTAATCACATTAAAAATAACAAAAGCATAAAAATATAACACACTGAGAGTTATAAGGCTCATTGAAATCACAGTTACCTCAAGAATTCAACATTCTTTTGAATATGTCTATTCATCTGAATGTTTGATACGAAACATTAAAGTAACCTCCCCTCCCTTATGGTAGGACCTTACAAAAAGGACCCTTTCAAGGGACAACACACGAGCCTTTAACACAAATTACCTTATCCTTTTTACTCATCTTTGATAATCATTATTTTTTAAAAAAATCATAGCTTTACTGTTTTAATGCAAACTAAAGCAAAAGAAAACATCTGTAGTGCTCTTATTAGATTTCTGCAATATTTCTATTTCTTGCCAAATGTTTCTGGCATTCAATAATGTACACTTACTTGACTAAAACAATAAAAATGTTAAGAAGGGCACATACACATGTGTGGGTGTGTTATATATACAGGTTCATATAGACAATAAGTGTCTGCTTTAGAACAGGGACATTGCTTTTTACCTCAATTATTCAATACCCACCTTGCAAAAAAGGTGGAAACTAAAACATTAGATTTTAAGATTTACTATAGAAAAATGCCTTTGTAGAAGCATCAATTAGCACCAAATAACCTTACAAAACACAAGTAAGAGAAAAAATGCTATGAAAGGGTAATCTAAACCTAGCATTTCACAGATTCTGCTCTCCTACTCCACCCAGGCTCAATGGCTGTTCACAGCATCCACAAATATTAGCCCATTTTTAAAAAAGGGGCCGCAGGGGCACCAAAACAGGGCTAGCTCCATCAAAATCAATATATGCAGAAATATTTTGTGAAAAATTGGGTTCTAGTCTGATTTTTTTAAAGCTTCAAATTTGTTTTAGATCCCCTTATGAACAAACCAAACAACGATCATTTATAATAGAATATGAAAAAATAAATCACTCTAAATACAAATTACTCTTCTGCTTTAATAAAAAGTGCAATTTGCAACTGCCAATTATTTTTGCAAAACTGTGTCCTGAAAGATCCCCATGAGATTAAAAGCTAGCTAATGCCATAGATTCAAATCAAAATTTAAGTAAAAGCTTTTTATATGTTTAACATTATCTTACTACAAAATATATACAAGCAGGAAATTTTCCTGATTAAGAGATCAGACCCTGCTGCAATTACCCTGCTATAAAAATAAATAAATAAAAATTTAAGCAAATACTACTGTGGCAAAAGGGGAGGGATAACATATGAAAGGCCAAGCACTCTCCTCCACCCTAGCCTCAAAATGAAAATCACACTAAACAATCCATCCCCCATCAAACATAGAATTACCAAAAATGGCACAAATTTTTTGTTTAGCCTTTGAAATGTTATGAATCTCAAGGACTGTGTGTTTAAGTAGCGGTCGGAATATCAGTAATATCTTCATTTTCTCCAGATTGCCTCTTAAGGAAAGGGGGAAGGGGGACCTTGGCATGACATCGCCCATTGAGAACCACAAACCTTATTCTTCTCTTCAAAAGCACAATTTCCCAACCAACTGGTTGATATAAATTGGACCCAGACCCAAACAGAAAATCTCCTGCCCTCCTGCCAAGGAGTTTCTTGCCAAGTCACTGAAGAAAGATAGAATAACAAAGCCAAGGCACCTTGCTCTCTTTTATCTCGATATTAAAAATCTCCTCCTCCTGTCCACTCGTATGCTTAGAGGAGTTAAAATTTGCCCACCATCTCAAAAGCACTTCTCACCTGGGAGACTAAGGAAGAAGGCACTGCGTTTCTTCAAAGAGTGGGGAGATTAGATGTAGGGGAATAGCTGAGGGCCTGGAAGCTCAGTGTTACAACGTCAAAAGGCAACTCCCGTTTGAGAAGCCAATGGCAGAAAAAAAATCCTGCCTCATTTGGCGGGTGGATGCTGCAGATGGTTCAGCGGGCCAGGCCGCTCTTTTTAGAGGATGTGAAGGCTGGACCACCGCACAGGAAGGCCAGGGAAGAGGCTGGCCATCCTCCTCAGGTCAATCCCATCCTAAGGACAGGCGGGGGACGGAACTCCTGGAAGGCCTGTGGGTGCCGCGTCGGCCCTAGGCTGGGCCCGGTCCTCGAGCCGCGGACAGTGGATAAGGTGGGGAAAGCCGAGCTCGCTTTCTGTGGCCGGGGAAAGGAGGGCCGAACCCTTTATCCAAGATCAGAGAGCGACCTGCTCTCCACGCCCTTCCTACCGAGGAATACTTTTCTTGCTAAGTCACCGAGGGAGAGGGCGATCCCTTCCCGGGAAGGGCCGCGGGTGGAGCTGAGGCGGCCTGGCACCCCAGAACCCGGGCCGGGAAGGAGGAGAGTGAGGGCAGCGCCCTCAGCGGCCTGGTCTCCCTCCTCTCGGGTGCCTCACTCAACGGCCGTCGCGGCCGCCATTTTGAGAGCGAGGAGAGAAGAAGAAGGAGGCGGCGGCAGGGGGAGGGGAGAATGGGAGGGAGGGGACCGGCGCAGCCACATCGTCAGGCCGCCGGGCTCGGCCCGCAGCCGCCCGAGCTCAGTGGAGAAGACAGAGAGAAGGGCGTAGACCCTTGTCGCCTTACCGGAGCGCTGCACAGCTGCCTCCGCAGGGCCTCTTCCGTCCTTCACTCCCATCCACCGGCGGGGGAGGGGGAGAGGGAGAGGGAAGGGAGGAAGGAGGGAGGGAGGGAAGGAGGGAGGGGGAGGATGGCGCGCTGGGCCCGGGCCCGGGAAGGGGGAGGGGAGGGGAGCGGACGGGCTCCTCAGCCGTTCCGGGGCTCGAACCCAAGCCCGGCGCTCGCGGTTTCTCTCGCTCGCGCCCGGGCGCTCCCCTCTTTCTCTTTTTTGATCCCTAGACTCCGGGGTCGCTGCTCTTTCGCTAGCTCACTAGCTATCTCGGCCGCCAGACTCCGCCGCCGCCCCGCCGCTCCAGCTCCGTCTGTCACAGGAGCTGCCCCAACGCCCTGACGTCACTGCGCCGCCGCCGCCGCCCCAGACCCGTCGGGAAGAGGGAGGGGAGAGGGCCGAGAGCGGAGGAGGGGCTGCAGCGCATGCGCCGGCCTGGGCCCGGCTTGAGGCTTGCTGTTTTCCGCTTAGCAGGCGGGTGGCCGGCTGGCGCGGCTTGGCGGTACTCGAGAGCTAGTAAGCGAGTTTGCGCACTAGGCTCTTCTCGCGCCCCGCACACTTCGGTAACCTTGGAAATAGTCTCTTGGTTCCCTTTCCCTAGACCCTCATCTCACGAACTCCGCCTCTGTTCGCCTCCCCGCCCAGCTCTTGCCTGTAAACGACGTTATCCCGCTCCCCCGACCGACAGCCGGACCCGTGGGCATCCCTGGATTCCGGGGCCCCGATTGGCTTACAGAATAAAGCCGAACCTGAGCCAAGCTGCCGATTCTTCTACCTCCAGCCTTTGGGTTTATTTCCCAGTTGGGGGTTGGGGGTTGGAAGTAGGTTGGGTTCGCTTGGGGAGAAGAGTTGTTCGGGTTGGAAGGCTGATGGAACGCACAATTGTCTTCACTGTTATTATAGATTTTTAATTGGGAGGATTCGCTTTTAGATGTGATTCAGCTATTCTTTTCCTTAGTCACATACACACATCTGAAAGTCTGGAAGTCTAAAAACTGAAGCCCAAAGAAAGATCTGGAACTTTTTCCCTACAAGGCGCGCGCGCGCTTGTGTGTGTGTGAGTGTGAGTGATGTAGCTAAATTATGGGTTGAAATACTGATGATAAGTCTGGGGGATTTGTAGTCAACTTATTCACACAGAGACATTCGATTTCAAAGAGTCCAGATTGAAGGTCCTGAATCATTCAGTACGGGATATTCTTTTAATAACAGGTATCAAGTATTAATACTTCATCATTAATTTGCATTGTCCAAGGAACCTTTCCTGAAACATAAGTTTAGGGTTATATTCATTTATTTTATTACTTCCCTTTGTATAGATAAATACATACACTGTCTTTAAGCAGCAACTGAGTTAAGGAAAGAGATAACTTGGGCGTGAATCCTGGATCAGCCACTTAACCAGAAATACCACCTTGGCTAAATAACTCTCTCTGGCCTGAGCTTCTCTGTAAAATAGACGTAAATAACCAATTTGTAAGGCTTTTGTGAGAATTAGAGAGGGATGTTGCATTCGTAAAGTATATTTTGCTTTAGTAGGGAATGACGGGTAACTCCTGTACCTATTACTTGTTTTGATACCAAAACAAGTGTCCTTTTATCAAGAAAGGTGGTCTTTATCCCTGGAGGAGTTAAAGAGGAACATGAACAAATTCAATGAAAAAATTGTCTGGAAGGTTTGGGTTTTCTCCTTCATTAAGGCAGAGAAGAAAATCAAATAATCTCTGGAAGGTCTTTTCCAGGTTTATAGTTATGGCATTCTCTAGATGAAAACAAGATGAGGCACAGGTGTGGTCTGTGCTTCGTCCAATAACAGTCAATAAACATGAAATAAATTAACATCTCTTGTTCTAAGAATCTACCTTCGGTTCATTTCTGCCTTTTAAAATATTTATTATTGCCTGATATCACACTAGTTAATATTTAATCAGCTGAGTAAATCAGTTCTTTATTCTTTAAAAAAATGTTCTAAAAGCCAACAAAATTGCCCAGGAAGGAACCAGAATCACGTTGATAAACACTGATTTAATACAAGGAGGTAACACTAAACCCTATGAACCTTGGGCTCATAGACTCATGTATTTAGAATATTTTAAAATATGTACTAAATTGAGATCAGTATATTTCTATAGCAATCTTTCAAAAAAAACCCAATAAACTCACTTGGGAAGAATGTATGAAAACTTTCTTCCTCAATAATAATTCTTCTGAACAGAAATAAAACTGTCATGTGTTTAACCTGATATGGAGCAATTCACTCTGGTTCTGTGCACTTTCAGTTGCTAATGTGATAGATCCATCTTAATCAACACTTGTCTATTGAGAATGGAAAATTAGGACATCTATACTGTCAATCATAATTCATAAGGACTTACATGAACCTACTACATCCACCCAGGAAACATTTAATAATGAATATTTGGGATGATGTTTCTAAAAAAATTAAGTATAAACATCCATTTTACTTACAACTGAGTTCATCTGAATTAGAAATCTTTGTTTTTCCAGCAGACATTTTCAAAATGGAAACATTTGTTTCAATTGCTGTTGTAAAATGAACGTTACCTTAAACAATTCTGCAAATAAGCTAATTGGAAGAAACACTCCAAAAATACTGCTATTGGGGAGAGTATAAAATGTCTTCTAAAAGTAGCTCCAAAACAAAAATCTCTTTACAATGAGCACAAATGTTAAAATATTATTTTGGGAATTAAACTATCCTCTGTTTACAGACAAACACATTGCTCTGTGTGTATATTTGATAGAAATTTGCAAATGGTGAGAAGGTCGCTTTCAGGCCTACAAGTTACATGTATCATTTGAAAGAGAACCATGACCCAACTGGTAACAGACTCACTCCAGGAGATTTTAGCTCATTAATTTGTGTGCCTGCATTTCCCCAAAGCATGGACATGTCAATGAGGGCAAATCCAACTAAACCAGTCATTCTCCATCTCAGCATCATGGCATCCACATGTGTCACGAGCATTGGGAAGCCATAGAAACAAATTAAAGGCTATTAAAAAATTGAAACTCTCAGCTGGACATAGAAATAGTATTTAGAACTAGGACTTTGTAATCTAAAACCTTTAAAATATATATAAAAATAATTTCAAAGTGCTAACTTAAACAATACAAAAAGATGTATTATTCATTCTGGGTTTCACCACAGCAGAACAGGTGAAGGGGTAAAACAAACTTTCTTCCGTTCTGTGTCTGTACACCCAGTACAGTAAAAGATTAATTCTCATTTAGAGGACTTAAAGAAGATTTTATGAAGGAAGTGATTTAAAGCAGACTTTTAAACATGGCTAGAGTTTTAATTAATTCACTCAACAAATATTTACTGAATGCCCTCTATATACCAGACCCTGTGCTAGGTGCTGATGAACAAAACAGATAGAATCCCTGAGCTCATGGAGTTTGTATTCTGGCAGAAGACAGGCAAAAAAAAGGTGACAAAGCTATAAAGGCAATACAGTAATGAAGTGGAGAAAAACAAGGGACAGCCCTAGTGAGTGCAGTAAGAGAAGATATTTCTGAGGAGTGAGTGACATTTAAGCTGAGGCTTAAATAGCTAAGAGATTCCAGATTAAGAAACAAGTACAAAGGCAGGAAATGAAAGAATGTCCAGGCAGATGGAGTGAAATGATGGTGAGGAAGAAGACCTCTTGACCGCACTGGTCTAGAAATGGACCATAAGACGCACTCCCCCCGCGGCCCCCCACAAATTTGGGAGGAATAATGGTTGTTAATGCTGCTGTTGAGTTCTGTTTACATTTACATTAGTGAAATACTATGTTATTTATATTATTAAATATTTCACCACATTTTTTGCTTCAAAAGTTTTTTTCCTATTTTCCTCTAAAACCTAAGTGCGTCTCATGGTCCGAAAATACAGATTTAGAAGGAAAAAACAATCCCCATGAAAATAATTTAATTAAAATCAAAATGAAAATAGAAACAGTGGAAGTGGTTTAATTCTGCTAATACTAAATACATCTTTCCCTAAAAATTCACTGAAGTTAGTATAATTCTGATTAAAACACTTGGATTCACAAGTGCTGAGTCAACATTTCCTTAAAGTCAATTCATAACAGTAAAACTCCCTGGATCTACAGCTACACTCTCCAATAGGCATATATTATGAAACAGCAATGTACTGTAATTTGAAATTTTGTAGTAGTCACATTTTAAAAAGATAAACTTACTTTTTAATCTTTTTTCATACTCTTTGAAATCCAATGTATACATATTTTATACTTATAGCATATCTGAATCCACAGTAGCCACATTACAAGTACATAATAGCTCATGTGGCTAGCAGCTACTGGACTGGACAGTACAGGTCTGAGGGAAAGACAGTGCAAGTAGAAAGAATGGTTTGAGCAAATGTATGGAGTTAAAAATGTGGAAGGCAAGTTCTGGGAACAAGAAATGGTTCCAATACAGCTGAAAAGGAGTATTTGTATATGAAAGAGGAGTGGAGGTAGGTGGAGGGCTGTGGAGAGGTGAAGGGAGAAATACTTGGGCTCTAAGCCTGGGAAGATCATCTGAACTGGATTTGAATATCTTGAAGCTAGTCTGTCCTGTTTGCAATGGAACTGCTTATATTGTTTTTGTGTGACACCATAAACTAATAACCTTCATCTTCCAAAGAGAACTTTCCTTGCTCCCTTCAATAACGTACTTTTATCCCCTCCCAGTTGCTAATTCTACTGTCCCTCCTTCCACCATTGACTGTACAGAGAAAGGAAGGACTGAATTCCAGATCTCCAAATGATGGTCCAAAAAACCACTAATGCTAAGTTATATCAAGACATACCCTAAATCATGGTTTTCAGACTTTCTTTTTTTCCAAAGCTTATTTTTTCCAAACAAAATATTGTACAGAATGCTCACATATATTTTAGAAAAGCAAACAAACATAAACAGAGCTTCCCTGTTTGAAGTAGCGGCTCTGGGGCTCAGCTGACACTCCCCCCACCCTATTACACCTATAAGAGAAAACTGCTATCATCTCACTGTACATCTTTGACAGCATTCACAAATCATACCAGGTTCATTTCTTCATTTAAAAAAATTGGAAAACTAACTCCATACTTTTTTAAAAGTCAGTACTGGCTGCCTATTTAGAATTTGTGATTTCCTCCTGGATTCCAGTATATAGTACATAGATAAACAAAATGATATTATCTTCCCCCAAATCACTTTTGATACATACATATACCCTTAAAATATGTAAAATTTTGTTCCAAATATCTTCCTCGTAAAATTGGGCCTTGTTTTAAATGTGAATTTTCTAGAACTGAAAACAGGTTAGTGGGAGCACTGACA